AGATTTGACACAAGCTTTCCGTTATTGTAGGGTCATCTTGGTTTACCAACCAGACTGTTTGCATCATCCAGCCATCCCACTGATCTTCCACCTGAAGGAGAGATTCCCATTCCTGAATGGAAGCAGCCAGAGAATGAAAGCACAGAGCTGAAACGAGCCAGACTACTGTACCAGAGCCGCAAGAGGGGCATGTTGGAGAATGGTCTCTTACTCAGGTAGGCAAGTGAGAAAGAATGGGCTTTGATGCCCCCGTCTACACAACTGGGCTCAAATATGGGTTTTACCCAATCAGAGTTTCCTTAATTCCTACAGTGGCAATATTTTATCTCACTGGAGTAGAGGGCAGTGGAGTTCTAAAAGTATTAATCTGGCCAAGCACTGACATACATTTACATGTTAACTCACCAAGATAAATTTTCCGTCCTGAGACTTGAAGTTAGGTCAGGGGTGTCCACAGTATGAGATTTCCCGATCAATAGATCCCGACGTGTCAGTTGACAATGTAAAAGAAAATTGCCATTTGCTGTGGATCTCAACATAAGAGCATGAGCATTCTGACAATTCACAGGTGCTTCTCAGTCTCTTGCTCTCATAACAGAAACGAGCTCAGTGAAAAGTGCACAACCAAGTTTTCCTTCTTGTACAAAATCCATTACTGGTTGCATTGTAAAATGTACCTACAAGTACACGTACACGGTATATGTTTATCTTCCCAGGGATAAAATAAAAAGAATTCTTTGAAGTGTGTTAACTCATCTCATCCTTTCCTGTCAAAGCATGTGATCATGACCCTTGCCAACTTTTAATGGCCAGTTATGTCAACTTGCACATGTATCTTACAGCACGTTTGCAGCGCGCTATCTGCCTGGGCTGAACGAGTCACAGCTTCAGCAGTATGACCAGCTGATCAATAAACCCAACAATGACTGGGACATCTTCCACTGGGTCACAGGTGAGCAGAAAATGCATAATGCTACATCCAAATCTCACAGCTATGGCTAAAAATGAGAGTTGTTCTAAGGGGGCCATTAGCTAGCGGCTGCATGCTCTTCTCATTGATGAATGTGTTGCTCCTAGCCGTAGCCACCACATATTAACATGGTCATATACGCCATGTGCCGGACCAAGTTTGTTTATTAAAATTAAGTCAGACTAATCCTTCGTGGGTACAGAACCAGTGTTGACTTGTCTACCCAAGGCATATTATTGACTATGAGGAAATGCTGGTGTGTGTGCATTCCCATTTGCAGCTGTCGATGATGTCCAAAAATGAAGAGGTTGTAGGTTTGAAGTTATGTGAGCTGTAAAAATTATCAACACAAAATACAGCATCAAGTTTTACTCCAACTGTAGCATTGTGATATATTTATTCTTTGATATTCGAGGTGGGTTGGGCCTTAACTAACCCTAACCCTTCCATAGTCTTCACAATCTTCACGTACCTCCTGATTTTAGAGGATTTCGCAGGCTTGGAGAAGGCTGAGCCCTTCCCTCATTCCTTTGAACTTTCAAGGGACATCACCTACCATTAAAAGTTTGCCCTTCTCACAGAACACAAACCCACACCAGATGAGTTCAGTGGCGAGGTGATGGACTTACTGAAGAAGCACGTCTCCAACGTCAACATGGAATCCCGCATCAGGCAGCCCGACCTGCCAGAGGAAGAAATCCGGCAGATGTGACACTCCTGCTCTACGTCAAAAGATAATTGTCAGCATCTGATGCCCACAAACCTGACTGGGGATACTGTAGGCTCAAATGCAACTGTGGAGTGCCAGTTATAGCAACGATATGTGGATAGCACATGTACATGGTTCTACAGTAAAGATTGCGGTAACACAATGTATTTATCTCTTTCTTTGAGTATGTGTGGTTCTGAGAAGAACCGGGGAATAACTCGACGTTTCGAACAGTGTACTCTGTCCGTCTTCAGGAGACAGTCTCCTGAAGACGGACAGAGTTACTATAGATCTAGTTTCTTTCACCATGAAAACCTTTAAGTCTTACATGTACATGGTATTGTTTAACTTTGCACTTGTTCCAGTTCTTCTGGCCAATTAAAACAGACAGCAGTTTCCCGTGACCATGTACCACTTTGTAAATGTACTCCCGTTTGTAAGTAGTCCCCGCTGAAAATAATGCCACACATACATTTGACGATAACACTTCTTCATCTTTGGAGTTTAAAATCAGACAGGGAGTACACGTACACTGTATGTTGAACTCTCTCTTTGTAAGAACGAGTACCTTTTTTTTCCCACATCACACAAGGTCAGTGCCAAGACTGCGAGATGAATACCTTACAGACTCCTGGTTATTCTGTTCAGAAAATAATTTCTGATCAGCTCAACCTTTTCAAATGGGTTTCTTGGAAAAATATGCGGATAAAACAGAATTGCAACTTGTGTATTCAATATTTCCGACTCAGTATGGTTGTACCAATCATGCTTTCAAAGGTTTGTCCTTTGACCTCAATGTAACAGGTAAACACATGATTTATTTCCATGGTGAATCCATGGGGTTTCTGGATTTCTCCTGGATGTTACGTAGCTTTATAATGATTCTTGTGTTTGTATTATTTTGAATTCCTATCTGTAAATAAATCGGCTTGTTAACTGTATACCTTACAGTTGCAGAATGTAACAATAAAAATCCTCTGTTACAATGTAAAGTACATCTACAGTGTAAATTACTTGTATCTTATATACATACTAACAGTGTGAACTACACACAATTCTCGAGTATTTTACAAAAATGGCATTTTTGCAGACAAATTACCAGATATCAAAATATTTAACTGTACACATGTAATCACAATTTATTTAAAAATCAATCACGTTGGTGATGCACAGTTTCACTTCTTATGAAATGTAGATCTGTTTAAACAAATCTATTGCGTAAAAACTAAATACAGATTATTACTGACGTCAAAAGTATAGGTTGAAGTCCTCCTTCATATCAGCAAACTGAAAACAAAAGTTGCCAGGAACATTCAGTTGAAGCCTGTTAAGATGACATCACACTACGGCTTTGCAATTATACGATTACTTGATTGCACTTACATGACTTAACTGTGAACTGAAAAAGGGTCAGTGAGAGCGACTTGAAATTGCTCTTCCATTGACAATGTTGATCAATATTGGATGTATGATAAAGTTGACCCACCCCTATCTGAACGGGAGTAAGGTCCTGATGAATTTCAAGCAGATGGCTGTAGTCCTTTGCCGAGAATGCATCTAACTTTACCCATTTTCACTCTCTATTCTTGTGCTATAAACCCATATATATATATATATATATAATGACTGTGAGATCAAGAAACTCTGGGGGGCGAGTGATGACCTTAACTTGCTCGATATGTTTGCCGCCCTCATCAACACGTTGGTGGAACTTAACTCCCAATAAGGAGATTTTTTATAAATACAAAGAGAAGCTGCCACATTGGTCATGATACAAGTAACAACGTCCAATTCCCTGTTAAATAACCATTTTATGTCAAAGCAATGTGATTGATCTTTAATTTGCATGAACAGCATTTTAAATTGATTGTATAATACATGTACTAATATATTTTTAAGGTAAATAACTCTATACGTTTTCCCTTTAACTTCTTACAGTTTAAGATTCGATTTGGATTCAACGTACTGACTAATGGAAGTTTTGAGCTTTGTAATGAATGAGGCATTGCACACGACAACTTTTGGTCACAGCAAATTACAGATAAAGTAAGTTTCAGATTTTGAAAGAGGAGAGCCGAACTCCTGACACGTGAATCATTCACCCAACCAGCCTTCAATGTTTCCCCTCCTAGAGAATGAATGCACTATGACACAGAATGTAGCCTACTCAATGAAGCATTCTGACTGTCCAAGTGGACACTGATCTTCAAGCAGGTTACGCTCTCCGAATGGACAGAAACAAGGATCTCACTGGAGAGCATTACCATGCTACTGGAATTTGAAAAGACCCACGTTACTTTACGCTAGAAAGGAAACTTAGCCCTTCAGGTGATCTTCTGTGTGCACATTCTCCTAGAAGTACGCCTTTGACAAAAAAATGCTACAAAAGCAAAATACGAACTTAGGAATACCGACTCTGTCAGGAAAAAAAAATACTGTGCAGTTCCAAGTATCCACCAATGCACTTCTGCTAGGGCATCAAAGTTTGGGAGTATATAGTGAAGACTAGATCTGGGGTTGGATTACCTTGATGGACAACATCTAAGAATTTCAATGGAGCAGCAGACCTGCCTTCTGTGTTCGTATCACCTTCCGTCATTGGAAATAAATTATTGGGATGAATAAAAGTTCCAATACGATCTATTTACAGTTAGCAAAACTCCTGAGAAAAAGATGGGAAGAGATCATCAGGCAATTTGATGTTGTTTTTCTCAATTCTGAGCAGCCACCATGAAAGGGGCTGAAATGCCTTCCAAGATCTGCATCAGTTTTTCTTTCTCAGCATCACTTGACTTGGTCCAGGCGAAGGATAAGTGTTTGGCAACTGGCTTCCGATCTGGGGGGAAAGGTAAAAAAAAACCAAAGGTTAATTGTCTTTAGATAAAAAAGGATCAAATAAGCCATAAACTGGACTTATTCTACATGTGAAGTGTGTGACTCCATTTGCAAAGATTTTGGCATTAAGTTCATGGATTATATTACTCTCTCTACAGTAAAAGAGCCATTTTTGTCAGACCTTGCAGCAGAGGGAGTCTGCCTCCTTTAAAATCTCGGCTGTTCCATGCGCAGCCTATCTGAAACTTGGTGTGTGTGCACAACATCCACCAGGAGTGCTCCAGTACTAACATTGTCGTGTGTGAAACGATGGTTTCAAAATGCTCCCATTTCAACATGATTTGCTCTCCTGGGCTGAAGGTTTGACCGGATGTCCCTTATATGAAACACTTCAATTTGCGACGGATTCTTACGCATTAAAAATTTCTCCTTTTTGAGCGATTTCCACATATCAGTTTTGTGAAACCCTTTTGGAGACCTATACACCTTCAGAAATTCCGTGTGGTGACCTATTCAACCCATTCTCCTGGGTCTCCACAAGACACAATATTCCAAAACTGGAGCACTTCTGGCAGAAGGATACAAATTTCGGAATAGCTGTTTCAAGGAGTTTCAATTTTAATAGCCCAAATAAGTGTTTGTGGTCAGTTCAACCACAGTTGTGAAAACAAATACACGATATTTAACCTATTCTGAGGGGATTGAAACATTATGGGGACAAAGAAATGTCCCCACATCTTGGTCCTAGTTTGCCTAACTAAAGAAATTGTCCCTTCAATTCAGTGAAAGCCTATCCACACTATTTCCCATGTCAGCCTGCCCACTGAGCACATGCCAACTGGAAAAGTTAAAATGTTTGGCCAACATGTCTTGGAATGGGCACTTGGCAAGTGGAGTAAGTCCACTTTTCATAAATTAGGTACCAAATGATCCACCTGGCCCTTTTTTTAGCGATGACTCAACCACCGAAAAATCGGCAACTATCTTGCCACCCCACTGCTTACCCAGGTAAAACTGCCCACTGGGTTGCTGGAGAACTGCTCTGGCTGCAGACAGCCAGACTAGCGTGTCGGCGCCCTGCTCAGGGCTTCGCAGCCGATTCTTAAACTGTCTGTGGAACCCTGGCATGGAAGTACGGACTGCCGGCGTGTCGGCCCATCCCGGGTGCATCACGGAGAAGTGGACTGCCGGATGGGACTTGGCCCACATTTCCGTCATGACAACTTGCTGACGCTGTGGAAAGACACATTCTGTCGATTAACCACTTCCTGCCAGGGACTCCGGAATCAGAGACGTATGGTTTATATGCGGGGCTGGAGTCTCTGAACTCGGACAAAGGAAACAGGGCCCTGTAACAAAAGACCGTACTCTGAACAAAAGACCAGGCTGCTGGGAATTATCAACATTTTTCACTCTCAAAAGTGGTGATAATCCAACCTTGTTTTGAAACCGTATGTCAGGGTTTGGGGCATTGAGAGCAAGCGGATTACCACCGGGGACAAAGCGCACCACCACCGCAGCGATGAGCCACACAGCACCGCTGCACACTAATCTGGCCCCTTTTGAAAAGAGGTCAGCAGAGCACTGAGCCAGGTTCGTGAACAAAAGAAAGTTATATAACACCGCACAATCTGGGTTCTTTTTACAAGGCTACAGGCCTGGCTGAAATACTCGGGCGTCAATGAAGGTCACCTGTCAACTTGGAGTAGTGCCTAAAGATTACTTCGTGCGGCTATAAAGGACCGTTAAATGAAATGATGAATTTTTGAAGAATTTTGAAAACGGACAAAATGATAGTCATGCCGGCCCAGCATCATCAACATTGAAAAATGCCCCGGCACGAAGTGGTTAAAACGTGCGTAATACTGAAGTGCTATTGTTACTTTGCCGAAGGTACTGTTCCACAACAAAATTCTCTGACATGTAGTATTAGCTTTGGCACAGATATTTCCCTTTTGCACAAAATTTTTACCTTTGAAAAAGATTCTACTAGGATCGAAATGTTAGGCCCTCCATATTTGTGATCTGTATTTTAGGTCACTGAGGTCAGCAAGCAGTTTACAGCAGTGTTGTATTATATATCTCTGGAATTTACATTTTTTTCAATAACAATGACCACAGTCCTGTACAAAACCTGACTCTACACTTAATTGGTCATTTGTTTAAGATTTGCTTAAAGTTCATTATTATGTTGTTGCTAATTTGAAACGCTGGAACAATGCCAAAGAGAAATATCTGCTACAATGCCCGTCCACGGCCACTTGAGGGCTCAATGTGGCCTCAATCTCCATGGACTAAGATTAAGTCTTAGGGGGTGTACACACTAAAATGGGAATCACTATAAGCATGGGGGCAAGTACATGCACACCTAACTATGAGTTAAGACACAGCAAATCCCAGCGTATTTTCAGGTCATTGGGCACCAAGTGGTTAAGAAGTACCAACTCCCCTGATTCTAACAATTTGTTGCAGACAGAGTACACATCAGACACTAGCAACGTCATTCCTGTCGTGTATTAATGATTGTAATGTTTCCCTACGGCAGTCAAACTATAGTTACGGCAGTGTCACTGGCTAATAGCCAATACGTCCAGAAAGTGAAAAGAGAATATCTGCTGACCATTTATTTGTACACGTGTACAGAATTTCGTAAACAGAGTGATCATATATAAATGATAATTGTATGCAAGGAAAAAGCATCATGGCTTCAAAAAGTCAAACCATCGCTATCTTTTACTTCAGCTGATGTTGACATAATTGGTGTGATGGATCAATTGTGGTGGTGTTGGTATCTACAAAAAAAAAGAAACTGCTCACGGTTTTACATTACATGCCTTGTCCTTTGTGTCCATGCCGCCATGGAAACGCTGAGAAAATGTTCCTTTTGCTAAAGCTATTATTGTTTGTTTCCTTGACTGTCTTTCGTCCTTTTCCCACGGATGGCCATGTCTCCAAAACTGTTTTTCAGAAATGGGGAAACCTTGTGTGGACCTGGTTTGGTCCACACGCGGTTCGCGCGACCTGCATTGCTGGTATGTGGTTACATGTTTTGTTCTAAGGGCCACACGAGGTGTGTTAAATAAACTCAGAGATACCTCAAGGACACAACATTATCCTGAGCAAGTCCTCAACCACACATTCACCTTGTTTTGTGCGTAGACCATGGTTCCGTCAAAGTTGGACACCCGTTCACATTGCATGTCCGAGAGACTCAACTTCTGTGTGTACATTCCCCCAGATGACACTGTCACCTGAAGAGAAATTATCCAAGAATATCGTTGAAAATCGATAGATAAGAAACCCATGGCAATATGTGGGACCCAAAAAGAGTCATTCCTCTTCTTGTAGCTACTTCCAATTGGTTGGCAAAATGACCTCCTTGAGCAGAAGCACCCCCTCATTGGTTGAAAAGAGTCATGTTGGTCAGTAGTGTTCATTTTGTTGGTAGGGATGTGACCTTAACGCATGCATTACCTGGTCATTTGTGAACCAGAGAAGTTCAGTTCCAAAAGGAGCCTTCATTGCTAAGAAAACTGTGCCCTCTATTGGACCAGCTCAAGGCTCACAGAATAAGAATATGTCCCTTCATCTTAAATGAAATTTTCATCACCACAGAATTAAACTACGTATTGAACGAACCATCTAACCTGCAACTATTTACACAAAATATCTGCTTATTTAAGTATCATTTACATGTAACCTCTTTACGATAAAAACTCAATCCAGATAAATGTTAGGGTCTTTATAAAGATTTTATTTTGGAAATTTAATATTTGATATTGACGAAACTTGCATGCTGATTACACCAAATATTTTGCCTACATGCCTGTACATATAATACGTACCAAGAAGAGAAATTTTATTCAATTGAAAAGACTCAAAACTTCAGAAGTGTGGTCGTGTAAGAGGGTACAGTCAGACGGCCTACTTACAACCCTGGATCCTGGTGTGTCCCTCAGGAGAGGCAGTAGCGACATGGTGAGGATGTACGTCCCAAGGGTGTTTGTGGCAAAATTCTTCTCTAGTCCGTCCTCTGTCACCTCCCGTGTGTTCACCATGCATCCTGCATTGTTCACCTGCAGGAAAATTTATTCCACGGGGATTTAGTATTTCTACTGAAGTTCCGGGAAGCTTGGAATAAAATCCAACAACGAGAGATTTCACAGAAGAGGACGGCAATTTTGTCCTTACCAGAACATTCAGAGTGTTTCCACTCTCTCTGAACTGAGTTGCAAATTCGTAGACCCTTTTGGGCTGAGACATGTCCACTATATGAAGGTGCACTTTCTGGAAAGAAAGATTGAAAGAAGATGACAATTTTCATTGCTGTGCCTGGATGTTCAATATGGGCAATTCACAATGTACTGCACCACAAAGAGATTGTTATAGAGAGGACTTTTCGTAGTCCATCATGGGATAAATAGTCGACAATGTCTCATTCATTAACTAGGCAGTGCACGAGAAGTTTCAATTTTTTAAACTGTTTATCTTGGTTGAAAATTCGAAGTTGCTTATTGCGAATGTTTGTAAGGTGGTCAAAATGATGCTTTTATGTGGTATAGGGAACGACTCAATCAAGTACACCCAAGTTACATACCAAAGTGCGTTGAATTGCGGCAGCGTATCAACCTTAAAGTGGCCTATGTGCGACTAACTCTTGGTGGCGCACTGTATTGTGAATCACCTATATTACGTGATATTTGGAAACAAGTAATGTTCTTAAGAAATGCCCAATTTTCAAAGCAGTCTGTCTTTTATCGACGCAATTACTGTGACCGGGGCTGCCCCCCCCCCGGCTGTGAGATAATAAAAACATAAATGAAGTGCTTTCATGCTGAAGGGTTATCTTAAACAAGATTGTGTGCTACAAATATTCTTATGCACAATAACAACGCACCGGCAGTTATGTCATACTAGAAACAGTTTACTATATGTGGCCCCTCAAATTGTCAAGATCTGGGAAAATAACCCATGTTCATTGATCATATTTATAAGCACGCATCCTTCAAACAAGATTAACCCGAAACTGTCGAAGCCATATTGTGAAAATGAGTCTAAATACGCCTTGTTTGGGTGCACATATGAAATATGTAACTGTGCACTCTTCCATGTGAATACTGACAGACCCGTATGAAATACATGTAACTCATGCAAAAATGAAAACAGGTACTACCACACATTTGTGTTACCTCCCCAAAATGCATGGATTGATTCCTTTCTCACAATTCTATTTTGACTTGTTCCGAGGCTAGTGTACATGGATATGACTGTGAGATCTTATAGCTTTCATGCCATAGTTCACATGAATCACAGTTTAACGCAATTAGCCAGCAAGCTTTGCCTGGAAAACAAAGCTGGTCGTGGGACAGCTGAGATCACGTAGGGGCGGAATGTGCTCAGATGTACCACTGTTCTCATAACATCTCCACAAAAAGGTCCCGAGTCAGACAAATATACATGCATTAGATCTCATACACATGAATCGTGCCAAATTACTTGGCTGCGGCTCAAAATTATGCCAGAGTCTACGGTAATATGTATTCAGCCACTTCCCATCGAGTTTTGTGCAATTTCAAGCCGAAGCCAATTAGCACGGACACGGCCTTACCTCGTTACCACTACTCTCCTTGATCTCCTTCTGTGCCTCTTGGCCTCTGGCTTCACTACGACACACCATGTGCACGGTCCCACCTGTAAACCAAGTTCGGATGCCATAATCACGGAACTCCATGATATAATCAAAACTACAGACTGTACAGAGTCGGTGTAGTCATCTTTAACCCTTGATCATGTGCAGAGGGGAAAAAGCACTGATTAAAGTCTTGACCGAGCCATTGGGTCTCGCATTACCTCATAAAAACAGAACTACCGGAGCTCTCATTTCAAGAACTTCAAAATAAAAACGGTGAAAAAATATTTTAAAAGCTATTTGGGTGAAAAATCTAACACATTTATTATACAAAACATATTTTTGTTTTGAGATCTAATAAATAATAAATGATAATAAAATAAATCCTGGCTGCACAGAATCACAAACAGATTCCTTGTTCATGTGAAAAGATTGCTCACGAGCATTGTTGGATGAAAATAGAGTTGATAACATTAATTTCCATCAATTCCTCATATTTTTCCTGTTAACCGTACATGTAGACCCAGGTTTGATTTCTTTCGCATGAACATGAATACACGTGTTTTGGGGATAACTACTTCTCACACCACCAGTCAGCACGGTGCTGCACAAGACTGCAAACAACTATTACCTACCTCTCTTGGCCAGTTCGTATGCCGTGCATTTGCCTATGCCGCTGTTGGCACCAGTAATCATGAAGGACTGGCTAGACAGGTCAATGCTGAGATCTTCGGGCTTGAAATTCTTGGCGGCAGATTCATAGCCACTCCTGAAATGACAGTGACAGAAAGAGTTCTTGAGGGATGTGAAATGCATTAACATCGCTTAATTAAAAAAAAAAGATCTTTAACAGCCCAAGACCTTTTTCACATCACATGATCATCCGAGTCTGCATGCACTCCATATACAAAGTGTTTATGCTGGACCTCCACGAGTTTTTCCATCTCTTTCTCGTATCATTTTGACAATTCTCGCTTCAATGACAAGTGTGATTTTTCTTGTAAATGTCCATATTTCTAGAACATACCAGCAAAAATGTTGTCTTTTCCAACTTACAGGTACTTCACTATTTACACGCTAAAAAGTGCTTATTTACAAAGACCAGCACACTTTAGAATCTCGGTTTTGATTGTAACTGACCAAAACAATCAAAGCCTTCATTTAACTGGGTCCATAAAGGATGTTGTATATGAATCAAATCTAAAAAGATCAAGAACGAAGACCAACATATCTTTGGGGGGAACCCGATTTGGTTGAATCTAAAAACTCAGTCCCGGCTTTAGGGTTAAAGATTCATTTTGGAATTTGATGTTGATCCCAAGATTTCATGTTATAAGGATATGATATTTAAGAAGAAAAACAGTCTATTGGCTCCAAACCTTGACTGCAGCTCTCTGTGCATTGAACTTACCTGCAGAACTCCCTCAAGCCTTTAATGATGAAGGCAGAATTTCGGTAGAACGTCATGGTGGCAAGTCTGCAGTGTTCTGAAAGACAACAATGCTAGTACGTTAAACTTGACATAAGTTAGTAAACTTACAACTAGGCCAACATGTGCATTTTACCTGCTGTACATGTAAATATCGTGTATACATGTACAGCAAATACATGTACGCGGCACATGAACGAATGTTGGACATCTTGTACCAGGGACATCTCGTACCCGGGCCCAACTTGTACCCGGGACAATTCATACTCGGGACAATTTGTACCCGAGATAACTCGTAACCCAAGAGAAAATTGCATAGCCTGTGGAGACATCAATTATAGTATGACATGTATGTATCAAATCAGATAACTAGGCCTTTTTGAAATGGTTGAGTGGTAGAAATAGGAACCACATATCGCACCGGAACGCCTGCTGATTGCGACAAATGGTCTTCTTGCAGGAGATGCTAGGGGACATTGTCGGCATCTTGGATCTTGACTCTTGAGTTCTTGAAACTGGGTTCTTGACAGCTGACTTCGACAGGCCTTGTCTAGATGCAGTTGTTGGATAACACGCTCATTTTATAGAAATCTGGGGATTCCTGGCACATACCAATCCACCAATCATATTCCAGATTTTCCTTTTTTTTTTCGAAGAGCTGCCTTCCCATGAGCGGCTTGCGGGTGTACGCTTCAGCGGTTGCAGCGCGTGCGTGGGGCGGATAGGATGAAAGGTGGTGCGGCATCTTTAGAACCACTGACTGGAAGGCACTGAAAAGGGCTTTACTGGTCTTTATCATGATTGACACACATTTAAAAAGAAAATTCAGGCAAAACCCTCTAATTAGCAAGCATGTTTTGGGTAAATATGGTTCCGGTCTACATTTGTTTAATTTCTTCCGATTATTTCTACTCTCCCGACGCTCTACTATAATCTCCATGGAGAAATAAACACACAGTGACGCACCCTGGAATAGACATGTTTATTCGTAAAATTTGTTATTCGTAAATTTGTAATTTTTTTACTTTTCGAGATATACTGTAGATATGAGAATAAAGAGAAATGAATGGGCTTTCCAGTGATACCACATTTATACTCGTAGGCAACTCCGCTCCGAAAATACAACATGAAATAGACGACGGGAAACATCACTGTGGTCAAAACTACTTTTTGAGAACAACTTCTACCGATTACTCAAAACAAGGTTTGGGAGATCATTCCTCATTTAGCCTCAACAGGTCACATTTTTTCTAGGTACAACATGTCTTGGGTATGTGATGTCTCGGTTATGAGTTGTCCTGCTACCCCTGGGAGATGGGAAATGTACATGTACATGTATGTGAATCCCCATAAAGCTTTGGCTTGGGGAGACTACAGGACCCCTATCACACTTTCCAAATATGGTATTTAACTGTAAGCGGTTTTAAAAATTGGATTTCTTCAGCATTCCCAGGACCACTGTATGCAGTGGTATTGGCATAGCCCTCTTTTGAAATCTTGAAATGAAAAATACAACCTAAATTGTCTGCATAGGCCTACCAATTTTATTGGCTCTCACTCTCAGTTATCCCTCAGGGGAAAAAAAGAAAGGACACTTAGTGGTTCTTCCAGGACTGTAAGACAATATACTCCTTACATTTCTGAAAATAACCTAGTATCCCCTGCCAGAAATTTTACTCAAGATATATCTGCATAAAGATATCAAGTTAGGTTACGCACACCCCAAAACATGTACATGTATAGTGTCTGTCCCATCTATGATCATGCTTTGGTTGGGACCGTCCCAACTAATGTGCTGCGGTCAGGTGGTTGGACTGGCACAACCATTCCAACTACAGTCTTCAGCTATTTAAAGTTTAGGATCACCCATACAAAATGCATTGGCCTGAACAAAAACCAAACTTAAACAATCAATCATGGCAACTTATTTTTTTCAATATGTAACCTTAGTATCTTGGTTAAACAGTTGTTTGACTACATTTCCATGATTTGACATGTTAACAGTCTAATATAACATAATCATACAAGAGCTGCCTTTGCAACAGAATTCATGCAAATGGCTCATAGTACGACTTCGATGTTATCACCACTGAAAAAACAACATCTTATGTAATCATTCAATGAAACAATGTAGTGGAGGCCCAGTGACAGATACCAATAATTCCAGGTGGTCGTAAACTTTTGCAATAACAGTATACAGGGTATAGGCCTTATCGGCGAATGTCTGTAGAGAGTTTCTCGACCTGCTCCCACTAGTCCCAGTTTGTGCCGTTTTGGCATGTTCGGTTTATACACCAGACAGAATCCATCCCATCATAATGTCCGGTCATACAAGCACTACCTCCTAGCCTAGGCTAAGTTTGTCGATCCATCATGTCCATGACTTCATACTCAATTCCATTGTGGTTTATTTATTTATATAGGACTGCAAGCCACACCTTGGTACATGTATGTCCGGGGCTGCGATTTGCAGTTCTGTAACACCATAGAAGTTCATAACCATCATGACCAAGACCAACACTAACCATACTTACCCCCAGACTGCCAGAACAGTGGGGTCCGATGTCCGCCCCGCTACCACGAACGTTGTAGCACGTCAGACCCCACAGTTCTGGGGGTAAACTTAGCCCAGGTGGACTCCCTGACCGAACTACGTTCAGTCGAAATGAAACAACTTCCAACCTGGGCTAGGGTTAAACCAAGCCCCACGAATAGGGCTGCAGTGGCTCTCTTTTACAATCTGTCTCTTATCTGTCGCCACAGACATGACAGAACAGATTGCAAAAGAGAGCCACTAACTCGGCCCTATTTGTGGGGCTAGGCTGTACTAATGACTGACCACGCCGATGGCGATGGACAGCATTTCCCCACACAGAATCGACGGGCTGAAAAGCATTTTGGATACAGTATGATACATGTACCTACCGTAAATTTCAAGCCCAGTGCTTCAATAAACAGAATCTGATCTCTCTTTCACTTTGTTTCAGTTCCAACAATAACTGTCCAGTCTCAGGTTCAGTTCGCATGACACAGCCTTAGGCAAACGCGCAAACTCTTGAGCAGTCTGTTATCAATAATATGGAAATATTTTCCGCTCCATTCAATACATAGACGTCTAGGTACCACTAGCGGTTACACAATCAAGGATGGGCTGTTCGTTTTACGTTCCAAACACGTGCATTATGCAATGAAATGTAGGTCATCATGACATTGATGTACACCAAGATTGACAGTGGTTCCAGGCTTATGGTTACCAATACTTTCTGTGAAAATAATAAAGACGAAAGAAGTAACTCTTGCTCGTAACAAACAACAAACGCAAGAACATGTTTAACTCTCCGGCGTTTATGGCGTTTGCTGTTTATTGTGAGACAATACAATTACAAGATAATCATAGTTTGATCTTTTTTCTACAGGGGGCAGGTATTTGAAATGGTTATCTAACATTCTACGATTAATGTGCAAATCCAAAGTACTAGTGTTTGGTGCGGATGGTTGTGGGCAAAGTGGTAAATGAACGATTAAATTTCACAATAGTGCACCTCCAAGAGTTTACAGCGCGTTGGCCAATCACAACGCGCGAAATCTGTCAACCCTTTCAAAACGCGCATTGGGTGGACAGATTTCACGCATTGTGATTGGCCAACACGTTGCGAACTCTTGGAGGCGCATTATTGTGAAACGCTCGGATTAAAGCAGGCTCCTAAATATTCAAATAAAACCGAGTTCAAGTTGGCGTCTTTATCATAGGCCTAGTGTTTTCATGCCACCGTTATCACCAAAGTTTTGTCATTTTTGCAGCATATTTTGCGTTCTTCAAATTAATGAGCTGAAACCTTCACATAGGGCCTACCTGTACTGAGCTAAAAAGAGATATATGAAAGATATATAAACCACTCAAATTAACAATAATAAAAATAACTGAAGTCAACTAGTACAGAGATCTGGCCGAGTGTTTCTTCAATAGGGGCTGATCAGCGATTTCTTAATTACCAAGATCCAGACCTAAACCACAGTCACCCGGGGACGGGGAGTGTGAAAAAAGTAATCGTAGTTATGGACAATGGGGCACGCAGAAAGTCAACCCTGATCCACGGGAACTGGAAGCGTGTCACACCGCTACAATTCGGTTCAAACCAGTTCACCGAACAGGAATTCACATTTGATCTGATTATAGTTAAGAAAATAAGTAGAAAGAAATTCAGAATAATAATGCTGTAGCCTGAGGCCCACAATTTCCCCAGTGGAGTCCAAAACTCCGTTTATTATAGGTCCTACATGAAAGCCTTCTTCCGAATTCTCAAATAGCGTGAAGCGTTTTTCACTCCTTCCATTACTCAATAAATATTTTACTGGCACCCAATCAGTACAAAGCAAGAAGTAACCTAAATACAATCAAAACCACAAGTACCTGTATCATTATAATGACATTACACCCTCTCCCAATTTGGCTTCCGCGACCATAATGAGAAATATTTGTAAAAACCGCCCACTATTGACAAAAACGCTAGAAAAATGTACGAATTCGGGCTATCCGAATCTCTCATTGTATGGCCATGGGGAAAATCTTAGAAAATTACATCTAGCTTTATAATTATGAAGCAGGCAGTGCGGTAACCATGGTGATCCCATCCCAAGAGCGCGGACGCGAAGGCGCCCTCTCTCGCATCACATAAGAAGTCCTGTTTACCTGACCAATATCATGGATGCCAGAGGCACTGTGCAGCCAAAAGAACCATAATAGCTGCATTGTGGAGATCACGTCGAGTGTATCCAAAGCGCCAGAAGTGGCTCCATAATTTTGTTCAGAGATAAACTCGTTTCTTGCACAACCGATTATTTTTTTATTCCTTTGTTAATGCTTTGCAAACCGACCACAAACGAACACCCACAAATAAAAACTGACTCTCCCATTAACTGAGCAACATGATCAATTGCACAGTTTTGCAGCATGCTGTAGAGTAAAAGAAAAGTACATAAGTTCAAACAGTAAGTTTTGACTTTTAAAATGCTATCATGTCATCATCAGCTACGTCTAACTATACACACAAGACAAAATATAAACATCCGTGTGACATCAAATGCCCTCTGCAAGAGTTAAGACTCGCAACAGTGACTGACATAAAAGCTTTGCTTCCGAGGTAGTTGGCAGGTACTGAGACACAAACAGATGGCAAAATTAATCTTGCTTCAGTAACAATTCGAACTGTCAATCTGCATAGGATGATGGCACCTCTCCTCCACCAACAAAAATACTGGTGCACTCCACCACATGGGTCACATTCAAGTTAATGTTAATATTGCTGTTTCAGGTTCAATATAATACAGTTCGCCAAAATTCAGCATTATCATCTTGATATTCAAAGTTTCAATTCATTAAACAACCGAGATAAAACAACACAAAATTACGTAAAACATTACAGAAATTAAAAAGACAGTGCTCACTAAAACAGTTCCCAAAGCACTGCCTTTTCAATTTTCTACACATTTTCACCAGTTCTTCACAGCTTCTCCTTAGTTACAATATTGTCATTCGTGATTCCAAAAGATTTTAGTGAAGCAAGTCCAAGGCAAAAAAAAATCAAAAGATCTGAGGCAAGAAGACGGCAGTATACCACGAGCACATTTTGCCAGAAAAAAGGTACAAAAATTCGATTACCCTGGTTGTGACCCCAAACAAGTGGTATCAGCAGCGATGCTTTCAAACGCTCGAACCACGATATAAATTTCGTCGTGTTTTTAAAGCTTAGCATCAAATATAAAGTCTCACTTCTTCCAAAACTCCAAGATAAAACGCCAATTTTGTAAGCTGTATCGAGGTCCTGAGAAAACCATTATACAATCTGTAAGCTCGTTATTCTGCAGTATACGTGTACAAGCAAGTTCATCATATAAAACAATTTACATTGTCAGGACATAAAGCATTCGATTTCTAGTCTTCATATGACCTCCTACATACTGTTGCATTTCAGGGTACTCGCTGGTTCCCCAATCCCATTAAATTTCAAGAATACAATTACGAGGCTTATGTCATACTGCTTAGCTTGCAGTACAACACGTTCGATGGTCAAGGTGCCTGACGCTACTGTTTACATGGATAGCAACGGGTCACCAAAAGCCCACGTTGTCACGCACGAAGCTCCTGTACATATCCTACACCCAGTGTCTCTCGGGATGGGTAACGATTACACAAAATTTTTGGATTTTTTGAAACCTAAAAGTGATTACAGCCACTAGTGAGCGGTTGCAATAGTTCGACGGTCCAACTACGTAAAGTTGAACACAATCTGACCTATGTAACGTTCTTGAGCCCACAGAACGTTTGATGTTCATTTTCGGCAAGCAAGGCATTTCTATCCATAAAGGCGCACCACAGCAGTGCGTGGATAGAGGGTTGGCATGGCTGCCATATTGCAGGGCAGCGCTTTTGCTCCACAGGGTATGTGCGAAGGAGCTTTTCCTGTGGAAAAAGAACCGCCCAGCAAAATGGCTACTACGCAAAGCCTCTGGGAAGATTTTTGCACCAATGTGAACAGAAAGTGCATGACCATCAGATTCGTCGATAGGAAAAGCGAATCATTAAATAAAATGCGGCTCTTAAAGTCGATCATCTCTGTAGCAAACTAGTCTTTTGGAGGCTATAAAAATATCGAGCGTGAGCTATTAAACGTAAAACTCTCCGCACACCATCCCTCTACATAAGTCTCGATAAACAAGTACAGTGTCTTACGACAGGGACGACTGGTGGCGGGCTGCCATGTTACAGACAGCATGATTACACACTGTTGCAAACACCTTGACCAAGGCTATATCTCCGGTACAATTGTACCGGCGTGCGGCAGCATTACTTCGGGTCCTCACATTCGGTTGCAAATGAAGGTGGCAGTTGCGTCGAAACTTCTGAGTCTTTGACGAAATGTCAAAGGAAGAGGAAAAACTAACAAAAGTTTCAAATTCTGAACTTGCCAAAGTGGTTCTGATCCGCCCCGTAAAAGGGGGGGAAGAAAGATGTTAAAGAAACAATTTCCAATTTGCTGGTCATCCAATTCTGTAATGACTGATCTTATGGGAGCACACCAGTAAATGTAAGAATTTAGGGTACAACAAAACTATCTATTAAAAATTAAGCAAAGTATCAAATCTAAACAAAGATTTGGAAATGCAAATTTTCCCGTGTGCGAAGTTTGTAAATCAGTCAAAGTTTTATGTGACTGTAGGAGTAGGATCTTCTTTATGCACGTTTTTCCTGTGGAAATGTCGAGCCCTTTTTTGTCTGAAAGCTTTGCCACAAATGTCGCACAGATACGGTCTCTCATCCGTATGCGTCCTCATGTGATCCGTCAGGGTGCCGCTAAGTGCAAACGATCTCTCGCAGATGTCACATTTGAACGGTCGCTCTTTCGTGTGGACCCGCCGGTGGTTTCTGAGATGGGCCTTCGTCCAGAAAGCGTGACCGCAAAACTCGCAGACGTGCGGCTTGGGCTCGTCTGTGTGCGTCCGTTGGTGCTTTACCAGGGTCTTTTTGACGGCGTAGCGCTTTCCACAGACGTCGCACACGAACGCCTTCTTCTCTGGGTGCGTCACCCAGTGCTGCGCCATCTCAAAACTGGTGGTGAAAGCTCTACCACAGGTCTCGCAGACGAACGGCTTGTCACTGGTGTGAGTCTTTTGGTGCAACCTCAGTGTGACATTGCGGGTAAATGCTCTCTCGCAGATGTTGCAGACGAACTGTTTTTCGTTGCTGTGCGTTTTCGTGTGTCGGATCCTACATGCGCTGGAACCAAACGACATCGAACAAATGGGACAGCTGAACGGCTTCTCCTTGGTATGCGATCGGATGTGCCGTTTGAGGTCTTTCTTAGTTGCGAAAGCCCAGTCGCATGATTCACACGGGAACGGCTTCTTGACAGCGTGCGTTGCGACATGCTCTTTCAGACTACATGACCGAAGGAAAGACTTGTTGCAAATCTTGCATACGAAGGGCCTTATGTTGGTGTGGATCCTTTTGTGACGAGTGAAAGTATTGTTGTACTTGAAAGTCATGGAGCAAATGTCACAAACGTACGGTCTCTCGTCACTGTGTGATCTCTTATGAGCGCGGAGACCCGTCCCGGAGGAAAAGGTTTTGGGACACGTCGGACACGAGTAAGGCTTTTCTTTGGTGTGACACCTGCGATGGCAAACCAGGGTGGACCGGCGAGCGAAACCCCTGTTACAAAACTCGCAAACGTGCGGTTTTTCGCCGAAGTGGTTCCTCCTGTGGCGTCGAAGTGTATGCTTGGTCTTGAAGGCTTTGGAGCAAAGATCGCAAGTATGCGGTTTCCCTTCTTCGTGGGTCTTTCTGTGTGCGGCTAAGTTCTGAGGTCGTACAAATTCTCGGCCGCACTCGTCACACGCAAACGGTTTGTTGCCAGAATGGGTTTGGAGATGCTCTTGCAGCTCGAGATCGGTTTGGAATTTCCGTGAGCAAATGTTGCACTTAAACGACGTCTCGCTGGCGTGGGTAGTCTCCTTATGATTGGCCAAGGTGTCCTCCCTCGAAAACCCTCTGTTACAGACGTCACACACAAATGGATTCTCCTTTAAGTGGGTTCGCCTGTGACTCGTGAGGCCACTCTTTTTAACAAAGCTTTTATCGCAGTCGTCACACTTAAAAGGTTTATTGTCAGCATGGAGAAGGAGGTGATATTTTAGGCCGCTGCGACGCGCAAACGTCTTGTGGCAAATCACGCAAACGTGCTGTTTCTTGTTGCGATGTAATTTCTTGTGACGCGACAGATTGCTGAAATGTGCGAAGGACTTTTCGCAGACAATGCACACGAATGGTCGTTCTTTCGTGTGGGTTTGCATGTGGCAAGCAAGACCGAATTTGACTAAAAATCGTTTGGGGCAAAGGTCGCAAGCAAACGGCTTGTAACCGGAGTGCGTCTTCTGGTGTTGGGTGAGGGTGTCCCTATTCGCAAAAGGCAGGTCACATGTGTCACAGAGGAACGGTCTGACATTGGTGTGGGAAACCAGGTGCCGCTTGAGATTGCTACAGATCGTGAACGCCTTCGAACAAATGTCGCAGACGTACGGCTTGTCGTTGGAGTGTGTCCGTTTGTGACGGACGAGGCACTCCTCCAGGGCAAAAGCTTGGCCGCATACGTCGCAAGGGAAAGTCCTGTCTTTGCTGTGCACTTTCATGTGCGACCCCAGGCCGCTCTTGTTGAGGAAGGTTTTATCGCAGTGGTCACAGCGAAGCTGCTTCTCGGGCGTGAGCGTCCTCTTGTGTCGAAAGAGATCAACTGATTGGTTGCTGGGGTCGCTCACGTGCAACTCTTCAGAGGTGTGCGTCTTCCTGTGACGCCGGGCAGACGACATCCTTGGGAAGGCCTTGCTACAGATATCGCAAATGTAAAGCTTCTCCATGGTGTTGGCTCGCAAAACTCCTATTCCTGTGGGCCCCACGAATCGTCCAAAAGAACTGCGGCAGACAATGAAACAGAAACAGAAAGTCACCTGTGTGTACCCAAACGTTTATAAGGAACGTATGAAACCGGAAGTGCATTGGGGAGAGGGCCAGGAGGCTTAAATCTCGGGGGTGTGGGGGGGTATATTCCCCACCACTCTTTGCACGAGCACGGGGGGACGGGCTATTGGATCATCCCTCCTGCGTTTTAGTGGTGAGACAAAAGGGCTGATTTATGAGTTGTTCTTCGAACTTCCCAAGAAACAAGTGTACGAAACGAGTAGAGAAAAGAAGATAACAAGAAAAACGCTTCTTTCACAACACTCTAAAAACACCTGGGTCATTCCTTCCTCCATGGTCAGACTGACCCGGAATCTGACCCTTTCTGGGTCAAATGTGACCCAAAACAGGTCATAACATGGCACCAAGATTCCAGGTCAGTCTGATTCAGGTGTTTTTAAAGTGCACGACGTTTGGATGAAAGATTAAAAAGTGCTAGTTATACATAGAAGAATGTTCATCTCTTTCCAACCCTCGCCCCCCTGCCCTTGATAATCCCCGGCCATGTAGGCAATACTGAAGTCATCCCCTATCTCCAAGTCCCCAGAACAGATTCATGCCACTGGTGAGAAGGCATAAATTTGAGGGATTCATTTGATAAATCTTTAAGGGGTTTAGATCTTGGGTACGAGACTAAATTTGGCAACTTCCAAGCTCTTAATTGGGACGAAGAGAAGTAGCCCCAAGAAAATGATGGACCGTCCTCAAAATTGCTTTAAGGAGAGCATGGCTCAAGCCAGTGTTTCTGGAATCTTTAACCCACATTTGTTTTAGTGAGAGTGGACTTCGGGTTTAGACTGGGCTGGAATTTAAATTGTTTGGGGTACCGTAATAGATATATATAGTAAATGATAGCAATATGACTTTACCTTTACAATAGCCGTATATATTCGCACTGTATTCTGGGAAAAATCACAAGCTTGCTCAGTGGGATTCCAAAGGCGTAGGCGGGGGGGGTCGGTTTCGGACGATTCCACCCCCCTTCTAATTAGCCTCTCTAATCCTCCATTGTCTCATTAATAAAGCAACCGCACAACGGAAATCATGGATTTGCCTTCTTGGGCATTAAAATCCCTCAGATTGTAGGATTGGATGCATGCCCCCGACCACACTAGTCGTCGCATTTTGAGCCCCTCCCCCAGCCCTTAAAGGGAGAATTAACTAGAGTTGTCCATTACACCACTCCTCTTTAGGAGTGATTTTCATTATGTTATGATGGTTTTCACTTGGTTTTCACTTATTGGGAGTGGTTTTATTCTTTTAAGGTAGTTTTTCACTTGGTTTTTCACTCTTTGGGAGTGGTTTTATTATTTTATGGTAGTTTTCATTTGGTTGTTCACTCTTTGGGAGTGGTTTTATTATTTTATGGTAGTTTTCATTTGGTTTTTCACTCTTTGGGAGTGGTTTTATTATTTTATGGTAGTTTTCAATTGGTTTTCACTCATTGGGAGTGGTTTTATTCTTTTATGGTAGTTTTCAATTGGTTTTCACTCTTTGGGAGTGGTTTTATTCTTTTATGGTAGCTTTTCACTTGC